GCGGAGCCGTGAAGCGTCGTCCCGTAGCAAAGTGGTAGTGCAACCTCTGTGCCTCTCCTGTGAACGGTTAATGGGGGCTGTGTCGTCTTCTGCTGCCGTTCGGGTGCGAGCTGGAGCCAGCACCAGGGTCAGAGCGGGGTGAGGAGCAGAGGGCAGCAGGAGGTGGACGACCTCCACCTCAGGTCTGCGCTCAGTCCTGGTGGGTTTTTGTGCCTGCCTCAAGGAATGGGGCAAGAGCACCTGTGTCCTCCTGTGGAGGGAGAGAAAGGGCAGACAGTGGGAGGGGAGAGAGGTGGAAACAGGGAGTTGGGTGTGTTAGAATGCAGGTTGTAACAGCAACATTCAGCCCTCTTGATGCTGAAGCTGGGAAGACTCCCGGGGCAAAGAAGAGGTGTATGAGTATCCACTTACTGAAGAGAGAATGCAGCTCAGAGAGGCGTTTCTAGATAGAATGGTAGTACAGTGGTGTATCATGGACCTGGTTGCTTTTTGCTCAGAGCTGTTCTGGGATTTTAAACTCGCTTCTGTGGCATGAATGGTATCAGCATGTAAGTACGCAAAAATACATTCAATATAGGTGTTTTGACAGATGCCTTCTAGTGTAGTGTCTTGTCCATCTTGCCAGCCCGCTTGTCAGGGAAATGCATGCACTCGTCTCTGCTGCCCTGTTTCTGGCATATTAGTGCAAATGCTCCTCTCAACCTCTACCAGCAACTGCCTCAGCAAAATTTGAAAGTGCTTTTAGGGCCTTTTGTAACAAGGTGCTTATTTTAATTGATTTGGGATGGTAAGACCCTTGCTCAAAACCTGCCAATTCTGACTGCAGCCCTGAATTTACTAGAGCTTTTGAAGTAATCGCTCTGAACAAACCCCATGAATTAGAGAAATGGAGGGAAAGAAGGGTTGAGAGTAGGGCTTTGTGTCCTTTTGCTGTTTGCTTCTTTTTCTCTATTGGATTAAATCTTTTGATACTGCTTAATGGATATGCTGCTTGGTTGGTTCATTTTGTTTTTAAAAAACTGAAGAATCAACTCCCTTGGTAGGAGAGAATGAAATTCCTCCAGCATACAGTTTTTGTAGCTTGTCAGAGGAATTGCCAAACTGCTGGCCTATAAGAAGCTACTGAATTCTGTAAGTATCTGAACAAGTGATCGCCTATTTTGTAAATGTATTAAATATAACAGTAAAGGACAGAAATCTTTGAACAAAGGAATAACTTCATCTATCTAAAAATACACTTTTTTTTTGAAAAAGTAAATATAGAACAAGAGAATTGACGAAAAACTCCAACAAGTTCTATTTTGTGATTAGTGTAGTTTTCACAGCAAAATGACTGGTATTTCTGTGATGAGAACTCATTTTTCTGTGTGGATGCCATCAGATTGGATTGACCAGCAAAACATTGAAAAACAGATTAAAACTGCTCAATGAAGTTATTGAAAGATGGGCTAGGTATAGAAGTCAGAGGATTGAATTTAGCAAGATGTGAAATTGTGAGATAAGAAGTTACAACTAGTTAGTAGAGAGCAACTGTTGAAGAGGCTTGAATGACATTACAAGAAGGCTGTTAAGGAAATCTGGAAAACAACCAAGATGGAAAAGTATAGTATATGGTAGTTTACAGTAATCTATACCATTAACATATTTTTAGATATTGTGTGCAGAATATTTTAATGGTACTTAAGAATTGGTGTTGCAGTGGCATTTGCGGTGGGTACTGCATAACTTCAAAATTTGCAGTGCTTACTTGTAATGACATGTGCCTACCACTTTGTTTCACAAGTGACCTACCAAACCCAAGTTCGAGTGGAAAAGCTTTATAGCAACAATTAATAGGAGGATTTGTTAAGATAAAGGCAACTTGGGAATGATTCAGGTGCCTGAGCATAGGTGACAGGACCAATTTTAGACACTTTTGGCCTCATATCCCCATATCCAGCTCTGGCATATGTGGTTGAAGTCTATGGGAGACCTGCAGTACCCTGCAGGCTTGTATGATGGGTACCCTACAGTATCTAAAATAGCACTAGCTGATTAGCTTAAGCAACTGAATCCCATTCCTCTTTTGGTAACCCATAGGACAGGACAAAGAACTTAAAATAAAACTAGCGTTTTCCACACCTCTCCTTAGTGTACCTATTAAAATAAGGAGGATCTCTGTTCACCTCTAGTAATTTGCTTCATAAATGAAGCACCGATACAGTTTCAAAGATCTAATGATTATAAAAAAGTAATATGGATCATCTACATAACTCCACTTGTCTATATTGAATCTTGTAGTTAAGTGAATTGCATTTTTGTTTGTTCTTAACTTTCAGATAACATTGATGAAGTAAATAGAGCTAAGAAATGCTGAGAAATACTAACTGCAGTTAGTAAGATTTAGACTTGGATTGCATCATGTACTTTTAATAGAGTGCTCAGAAAATTAGATCTTTTTTTAGTTCAGCAACTTTCTTCTCTGACTATTGTTCATGCCTTCTAAATTAATGAGTTGAAGGTGAGCAAAGAAAGGATTCTCTTTCAAGGTTGAACCTTAATTTCTATGAATAATATTTGATGCTTTTGCAGGGGAACAAAATCTTCTGTAGATGTTTTGTATATACCTTTTATCTGACTTTCATATCTTTTCCTTCTATGCAGCTTTAAGTGCAGAAGATGTTACTGAAATCGCTTGGCCATTGCACGACAGGGCCCAAATGTGATTGATTTATTTTTTCCCCGCTCCCATTCCCTCCAGCTATTTCAGTACTGTCTCTTATGTCTGTCCAAGTCTTGGGTTCTTTCCTCACTCTTGAGTTGTCACAATATGTACTCATTCTTCAGCTCTCTTTTTTTTTTTCCTTTTTTTTTTTTCTTCTACTTAAGCCTCTCCAGTGCTCTTAGCTGGTGTCAGATTACCTCAACCTTCAGGCTGTCTGTGCCCTTTTTACCTCTAAATCAACTAAAAATAGCCAAACTGCTGTGGTTGAAATTTTCCAAAAAGAAAATTCAGCCTGACACATGGATCTCATACAAGTTTGCAGACTGAATGGTTTAAGACCATTAAGATCTTAAGCAGCAGAATAGAGAGTCTCTAGCAGAATAGATAGAAGTATTGAGCAACCTCTGCCTTTTATGGAGTTTGCAGAGTTTTATTACATGAACGCTGTTGCATACCACACCTCAGGGTACTCAAATTTGCTATGATGGCAAATTAGCAAAACTTCACTCATGTCCATTTCTTAAATGGCTGCCTTGCTGGAAAATCTTATAAATGTGGGATTATTGAACTGGAAGTATGTTTTGAGTATTTTGTGAAGGTTAATGGAGAAGACTTCAATGTACAGCATGGTTTATATGAATTTTTATGATATGTACATTGCAACTATATTTGACCTGGGTTTTACAATAATGGCCTCTTCTTTCCTTCTTCCCTTTCCCCTCTCATGTTCAGCCTAAACCTCATTGATTTCTGAGAGGCCTTTGCCATTGACTTCAATGATGTGTGATTTAGGGTCTAAAAGCTTGGTGCCAAACTATTTGCAAGACTAGGAATGAGCTTGGGGTTTCTTTAAGTGGTAGTTTCAGTGGCAAGTCGTCAGTTTAGTAGGAGGTCCCAAATGGGTACTGCCCTCCCCATTTTGACTCTCTTCCCCTCCTATTTTGTTTCTCATAGACTAGGAATGAGAAGCAACCATTTGCTGTCTCACTAACAGTGCCTCTGGAGTCAAGCTGCATCAAGAGTTCTTCACAGAGCTGTTTCTAGGATATCTTGTTAGATTCTTGATTCAAAAGGTAAGATTGAAGAGGAATGAAGAGAATTTTCCACTTAGTGAAAGTACATGAAGCAGTGAATGGAACTATAGTTGCTCAATGAAATAATTGCCTCAAAAGTTTGAGTTAAAAAGCTGGTTTTCTTAACCAGCTTTCTAGAAAAAGAACTTTTAAACATGGTTTTTTAAATGTTCTGAATATTTTAAATCATCATAGTCTTGTCACTTGAAGCCAGTAGCCAAACTAGTGCAATGTGTTTGTGTATTTTCCAAATATGAAAAAACATATTGGAATATTGGAAAAGGAAGCATAAAATGTTGCGTGAATACTGTTATTTTTAACAGTTTAATTTACCTCCTGGTACTTTGCTGGATTTTGCATCTAGTGCAAGGAAGGTTTATGTAAATGTACATTGTTGAAAATACTGAATTACTGTACAAGGCAATTTTATGCAATTATTTTTTATTTCAAAATATAAAAGGCACTTATTGATAAGTGAGAGGTAATGGAAGGCTGTTACATTCAATATAACAGTAGGCATATTTCAAAAAACTTTACGCTAAGACAATTTTACATTATGTAAGATCCATTTGGATTCTTCTTATTAAAGACGAGCTATATTCAGAGCTGGTGAAGCCCAAAAGACATCCGACAGCAAAGAATTAGGCATTTAGAAAAAACGCATAATGAATAGTTGCTGTTCTCTCCTATTCCTAATCTGTTGATCAATGTTAGAAAACTACTCCACCTTGGAATGTTCTTTAGCCAAATCCTTTTGAGCTGGAATGACAGCGGAGGTCAAAATAGGCAGGAATATGTTTAGTCTTTATTTCTGAAGCTGTTTCACCAGAAATGCTGGTGAATCATTTCGTATCAACTAAGTCAGATTTTTCTTCTAAGCCACATTTTGATTTGAAACCAGTTGTCTGAGTTGATAGAGGAAATAGGGTGCTGTGCAGTGCCAGGAGCTCCATTAGAACAATTGATCTGCATGTCAGAGGTCTGTCTCTATATACAGGCATGGCAAGGGGGGGATTATGGTTTTGCTTAAATACTGTTTTTCTGTTTCCTGGTTTTTTTAGATTGTGCTTTTGTAGGTGCTAGCTAAGTAGCTGCTTGCCAACTTCTGAAATGATGCAGTTTCTGTGAACCATTTATCTTTTATTTTCATGCATATCTCAAAATTAACATATGCTTAAGAAGTATACCCTTAATTTTGGGGTTGTTCTGTACATGTCTGTAGACAACAGGGAAGAAGAATTGTACTATTTTGGGTCACTAGACAAAACAAATAATGCAAACCTTTATACCAATTTGAAAATAGTTACATGAAATGGTACATGATGGGGAAGCATCCTGGGACAGTGCATGAGTATGAAACAACAAAATCTGATGGCAAGAGTAGCAGCTCTACATAGAGAAGGGAAAAACATGGGGTTCTTACCTCATTGCAACTGAGTAAGAGGTAGACATTTGTTAAGCAAAGCAATATAGTATAATGTTGCAATAGATAACCCTCAGCAAATAACAAAAAGGGGCAATGAGTGGATTGTATTTAACAAAAATAAAATTTAAAACCCTTTTAGTAGAACATCATGGAATTTTTTTAGTAAGTTGAACAATATCCTATTTTTAGTGGAAGGTCAACTTGATCTTTATTTAAACAGAGTCTCTGGTTCTGAATAGAGATAGGAACACTTTAAAAGTGATAACAAAAGTGAGGGCTTAGAGCCAGACCTTCTTAACCTATCATTACCAGCACAGGATAGCCATCCATGTAGGAACTGTATGCCACTTAGAGAGGGGTCCTTGTTCTGCACTCGAAGTGCATGCAATGAAAATAGCACAGAGTCTCATGTGAAAGGATTTTTTTTTCTTTAAGAATTTGAAATGGGTCCAAAGAGTATTAATGAAAACCACCTCTTTTTGAATGAAATGCTGCCATCTGATGTCACGCCTCCTTCTTTTATGAAGTAAATTTTTTTTCAAGATCTTAAATATTACAACTGCAGTTCCAACACCAAAACCTCCAGTACCTGCAAAAATGTACCTGGAAGAAGTGTTATGAAGATAAGGTTGGTAAAGCATTTCTAAACCAGCAGGATCATTTTGATTCTGCTGTCACCTGTAATGAAGTATATCCATTAGAATTTAATATCAATGGAGTTATTTAGTTTACTGCTAATATATTGAGAGCATTGTCAGGTTCACAAGTTTTCATGTTTACACTTCAGTGGAGAATATTTTTCTTGCTGTGGCTGTAGGCTCAGGACCATAACACACATTTTTGGATAGCTGTTGGTATGTCAGTGCAAAGCAAAAAGTTATGTAGCTGGTCAGGCTGCAGGATTCACACCTCTGCTGGAACGTCTCCTAGAATTTGTCAGTGTGTTGCAACTGGCTGGAAGTGCATGCATTTAACCAAGGCGGTAATTTTGATAGTATGTTTAAGAGAGAAGAATTTATTAGCTGACCTTACTGAGAATGAGAAATTCTACTATCTGGGTAATTTTGACATGAGTATGAAAGATGAGATTATGTTCTTTAGATTTATAGTGTAAATTGTATTTGGAAAAGTTTTGCTCTTCTTAGACTATTTATTTGCCTCAGTTAAAGAAAGTGTGAGTAAGATGGTGTAGTGACTAAATGGTTGTATCCCAGCACTCCATCCTTGGTTCTGCCACTAGCATTCTGTGTGATCTTGAGTAAATAACTTTTCCTCTGTGATTCTATTTCCCTATGTGATATTGGAAGATGACCTCTGCTTGAAAAAGTGCTTTGATGGAATACACCATAAAAAGTAGGCATGACTATTAAACAAGGAAAAAAAACCATGTTCTGAATATTATAACCCTGGACAAATCTTCATTTGCTATCTCGCTAGACATCACATAGTCTGCGTGAGACAAGTTCATTGAGGTGTAATGCTTTCCCCATCTCAATTTTTTTTTCTATAAATTTTAATTAAAGCTTTTCATGCCATCAAGTCAGTTATAACCTGTTCCTTGCCATGTGGATTTTCTGGTATCCAGTAAGAACTAGGCTTATGCTGCTTTCTTTTCCTTGGTACATTTATTATAAGGAATGATATATGACCCTATTTTTGCTGAGAACTATGTTGAAGAACTTGGTGGAAATCTTGTGTCTTTGGAAATTTCAGCTGCTTTTCAGATGTAGTTAGGTTGGCCAATGGATTAAAAAATTGCTGTAGGGAGAAAGACACAGAGGGAAGTGAAAGGGAGTGTAAAAAAAAAAAAAAAAAGTTTTTTGCTCTCAGCATTAAAAATTATCTTCCAGTTACCTCACTGCAAATCTACACCTAAATGCAACGTCCGTTTAAATAAAGTGGCCTTCAGTGAATAAATGTTATTAACGGTTCTGAATTCCGTCACCTTCTTCAGTTCTCCAGCTCTTCTTTCCTTCGTGGTGTCTTTGCATTGACAAACGTGTTTTCTGTTACTTGTGATAAGAAGTGATAAAATCTAAGGTGGTTAGAGTGTAACCTGACAGCTTTGTATGGAAATTTAAACAGTTTGGCAGGTGCATTATAGGTTTTCCCTGATGTTAAATGGGCCAGATCCTTCCCAGGTGTCAGAGGTATTGCTCCATTCCAGGGCACGATCTGACCCACAAAGTATAGCAGGTTTTCAAGCAAAAAAATTCCATACTGTTGTATTGCAAACAGAACTAGTATGTTTTAGCATTCTGAATATCTTATGTATCAGCTAGAGTATCAAAGAAAAATGCAGTGACTGTTTTTGTGGCTTCTATGACACCTGATTTGCACTTGCTGTACTGACTCTGTAGCAAAAGGACTAACATTTTATTCCCAGAGTGGTGTTGGAACCAATTGATGAAGCTGTATAATAAATATTGAAATTAAGACTAGATAATAAAACATATTCTATTATATATTCTCAGTAATGTTTCATGTCTTGGAAGTCCTCGGGTGTCCTGTCCATGTGTATCTTGTTTAAAAATACTAATGTAGACTACTTCTAATATTTTTTTCTTATCTTTCCTGTTTTTTCCGAAGGCAATAGGCCTGTGCATTTTATGAAATCGATAGGATAGTATATTGTATGTCAGTGTAGAGTAACACACAATAGAAAAAAAACCCTCAAATTTGGTGCCAAATTACTGGGTGAGAGCCTTATGAATCCCTTTGCTGTCCAGCTCAAAAATCTGAGACTGAGTCATCGCCTTGAGAAAGAAGTTGGCATACAATCAGAATGTATAGGAAAACAATAGCTGTGCTGAAAATTATAACAATAAGCACCAGAAGTATCAGTAATGGTATGTTTCATGTCATCTAATTGTTGAAAAGCTTTTAAACTTTAAATCTTTTGGACATATTTGTGCTCTAGTATACAGCTTTAAGGATGCCCATCCCCCTGCCACCCCTCCAGCAGCCACTGTGTCCTGTCTGTCATCCTGAAATACACTGGAGAGCTTGTCAGTCCCTTGCAGATGCCTCCGAAGCCAAATAGTGAGCCATAGCAGTTGCACTGAAGTTCCTAACACAAGGAAATTACATAGACAGTTGCTTTAGTGCTGAATATGGACCCTGTATATTCTAGGATAGGTGAGTGATGTGCTATTGGCTTTCTAATGATCTAGCAGGAAATGGATTCTAAAGTTAACGTTTTCTAATTTATGCAGAATATCTTTGGCTCTGCTTCTGATGCTAATTACTTTATCTGTGTCTGTGTACAGTGTACTTACAGATTGTTTAAAAGCTGCAGGTGCTATGTTCACATTGTATTGCAGATGGATACAAACTTTGACTGTTTTTCCTGTGTCTTTTTCTCTGACACCAAAAGACTCAGCAGTTTCAGTTTGGATGTGTCTGCTGAAAAGACAAAGAAAAAATCTCATTATCTTAAAGTTTGTAGCACTTGGTGGGGGTGTGCAGGTGGTTGCTTTTCTGACTGTTCGGAGACACAACTGTGTCTTGTGACACATGCTTAACTTCCTAAGTGTTCTAAGAGCTGCTGGTCTGCAGTGCTGAAATTGCCTACTGTAAAGGTTAATATAAGTGAGTGTGAGGTTATAGCAGCCTTTTACCAAAATATCTCGCAGTCAAGATCCCTACTGTAATTAGAGGGCATATTACACTGGAGTAGACGTATGTGTTTAAAAAAATAGAAGGCGGACTGTGATTCTCATTTTTTTCCAAAGGCAAGCACTAAAACTTTTAGCCTTAATAAAGATGATCTGGAAGGACAGAAGTTCACTTTCTAAGTGGAGAAATATCAGAGAAAACCCTAGAATGATCTTTACTGACTGCATATTTTTCTTTCTATCACCTATTACGCTTGCATTGATTTAAAAAAAAAAACCACTATTTAAATATTGATTACCAAATATGGTAAATAACTGTAAGGAGAGCCTAGTAACTTAAAAATATGTAGTCACAGTATCAAAATAATTAAAGATTTTGTAGGTTTTGCTGCATTGGCTTGCAAGCTTGTTTTCATATTTTGGTTGCTTTAAGGAAGTTTAAGGAAGCATTAGAATGTTACTTTAAAAAAAACAAAACAAAACAAACTTAGAATCAGCAAGTGAGCCCTTAAGTAGGTTATTTATACCTTAGAATATAATTGAAATTTTCAGAAACAATTTTTGCAATTGACTTTCAGTGAATAATAAGTTATGGGCCTGACCCAAGGCTAAAAAGCTATTGTTGAGTTCAAAAGCCAGCTGAGCCATGGCTCAAGCAAAGAATAAAAATGCTTATGTTAGATGATATGCTGAGGTTTAAAAAACCCCCCAAAACAAAACAAAAACCCCAAACAACCCCAAAACCCAGAAAAGGGAAAGTCACAGCACATGGATTCACGTTTTTCTGATCTGCAAAAATGGGATTAGATTTGTGACATTTCTCAAGTTTGAGACTGCTCAGTGGTAGGATTCTGGAGCACAGTAAGCTCTAGTAAGAGGAAGTGACTATAATTACAGCTACATATTTTTGTCAAATTTTAGAAAAGATCTGATCATTGTAGATGACCTGTAGTATAGGAAGTTGTGATGTGAGAATGGAGAGCAGCTCTTGACTGCAAGCAGCAAAGGTTTTATTTCTGAATTTTAAGTAAAGCAGTTGCTAGTACCCTTCTGTCAAATAGAGGGGAAGCCACTGTGAAGTTAAAGCATGCATGTATCTGCAGAAAAAATAAGCTGAAAATCATCTAGTGATTTCTTCAAATCTCAGTAGAAGCATGAAGTGTTATCTCCATCCAGCTCTTACCTGTCCCCTTGCAACTGATGTATGCCTTGACCAGAAAAAAATTCAAAGCACAATCAATACCATCTATTTGCAATTGTTGTGATGGGTTTCAAGAAGTACCCGTATACTGGGAGACTTGTGAAAATGTCAAAAATAAGGGTTGTGAACCAGCAATATTATAAAGACTTTTTTTTAAAAATGTGAATAAAAGGCAGATTCATTGAAGTGTTGGCCAAAGATTAAGAGAACCAGTGAATTGCGGATGGTAAATAATAAATAAATAGGTCTGTCTTTTCAGGAGTGTGAAATGATGTGGTTTGATGCAATCCCAAAGAGCTGGAGGAGAGTATCTTGTTGAATTGAAAGGCTTTTTGATTCAGGGGTAGACACAGCAGAAACAGCTTTTCAGCAGTGTGGGTGTTTCTCTGCTGTATGTTCATAGGCTGCACCAACATTACAGGTAGGCACAGACGCGATGCTATTTGCCAATACTGCAGAGTCAACCAAAGGTGTGTGTGCTATTGTTTTATTATGGGAGAGGCAGTTTAAGGTGATTGTGAATTTGTCTCTTAGTGATTTCTCCACTAAACAGGAGATGGAAAGAGCCCACCTTATTTCTTGCTTTGTTGTATATACAGTGTATTATCAAGAATTGATAGCCTGACTGTACCAAACATACTGGGCTAGATGGACGATTTATCTGATTCAGTAGGATGTTTATTATATTGGATGTGCTTGTAGATATTGTGAGTTCGTTGACTTTTGATGTCTTCTGTGTCTTGTGGTGGTTCTTGGTCTGAAATTCTGAAAACATTAGTTAAGCAAAGTTTGGAAATCAAATATTTTGCCTCCTGGGAGCATGCCCTAACCACCAGCCTCTATAGCTATGCTGTGTTTTCAGCCTGTTTTGTTCTGAGCTCAGTGAGTAAGTAAGTATTTTACATTGAGTAGAACAGAACTAGCAGAAGATACTGAGCCATCTATCTTAGAGCACTTTGTAACAGCTGCAGTGAGGCTTTGTGAATAAGAGGTGTGGTGTGTACACTTGAATAGCTAGAACTTCATCAGGTGAGGGAGAATACATAACAATTTGAGCTATCAAATGGGCTGCAGTCCTTTTCCACCACTTGTTTCTGAAGCAGTGAATGATGGGGGAGGTATGCTCAGTTCCTTTCAAACAGAGAGATAAGTTAAACTGGAGTATTTCAAAACTGGGAGTATCCTATCTACTGATTCATTGGACAGAAAGAGAACCACTGAGACTGGCAATTTTGGGAGTCTCAAATTTTATTTCTTTGGGCTTTGTTACATGTATCTAAAAGTTAAATGTGTAAAATACAGCCAAATCATTTGCATTGACATTTCTCAAGTTCTGTATTATTAATTTCCATGAAAGGAGAAGTGTAATTCTGGTCAATCTGATCTCAAGTTTTTGTTCTCTTTATCTTTTGACTTGGAATTAAAACTGAAAAATCAGTTCTTTACATATGCTATCACCTGACTCATCCTAAGTTTCCACAAATTCAGCTGCCTATAGTATAGCTTGTAATAAAAGAATAAACTCGGCACTTCTATAACCTTTACTAAGAACAGCAAAACTGTGAACTACCTTTAACCTGAATTCTTTAGTTATTGTTCATGTTATCTTCGCTTGCAAGTGAAATGTGGATAACTATTTTGTGCTAAACAGATGAGATCACCATTTCTACACAACTTACTATAGAAACCCTAAACCTACTGTGTTGTATTAAATCAATGCTAGGTTCACTGGAAGGTGACAATATATCTCTTCAGCCTGCTCAATTGCAGTACCTTATTACTTTATTATACAGCAGCAATGGTTGTAATAGTCCTGCTTAGAAAGGACAGATATCCATTATTTGTGTGTTTGAAGTCTTTATTGGCTAAAAAGGCTGTGCTGAGCTATGTTTTATGGGAGGTTAAGTTACTGGAAAATTTAAAATGTCTTTTATTTTGAGACAATAATCAGTTGCATTCCTAGTAAAGCACAGTTATAATTCTTTGTTGGCACACACACATTTCACTGCAGCTACAGGCCCAAACAACGGCCTAGTGAACTCAGTGAAAACCCTTAAATTAACATCAGTGGACTTTGGATCAAGCTCCTAATGAATGATTTATTCACTTTTAAAGACCTTACTTAGCTTTAGTTCCATCTTATTGACTTTAGTAATAGGCTTTCTTGACTTAATCTGTCTTGACACTTAGAAAATATTTGTTATTACAGGGTGTAAAATAACTAAATGTTTCACTTTGTCCTGCTATTCATTGCCAGGACTTTGAAGGGCTACTGTATATATTTTTGTTCATAAAGTGTTTATTATGGCCACTGCAATTTGGCACATGGAATAAGATGCAGGTATTGTGCACGTAGCACTAATGTCTTTCTTTTATGATAAATTCAATAATGTAATAGATAATTTTTGCTTTAAAGCTCCTTTTTATTGACTACTAAAGAACTTATATTCAAAGGTCTTCTAATGCAATTATCCTTGTGTATTTTTAAATATATGGTCAACTTAAATCTGGAAGAGAAGACAAGGAATTACATGTACTTTAAATCTATTATTTTAAAGTTTATGCAAGTATCTTTTTTTTTTTCTGCACAATTTAGAAATGAGGAATTAGAAAAATTCATTTTATCTCTTGAAATCCTAAGCCTACTATGCAATCAAGTCTCTACTCCTATAGGCAGTCTCTGGGCTCTGACAGAGGGCAATGAAAGGTGTGGTTGTGGCTAATAATTGCCTATTGCAATTTTTTTTTTCTTTTGTACCTAGGTGAAATGTCAACAAAAGCGCCAAGCATTAAACTGAAAATTGATCCTCGGGATCTGCAGATCCAGACATTTACAGTGGAGAAGTTATTGGAACCATTGATAATTCAGGTATTTTAGTATTGTGGAAAGTAAATTGGATAACCAAAGAGGGAAGGGAATAAGGCTGAAGAACTTTGACTAAGGACACTATTAAGAAAGGCATGCCCACAGCTCTTCTGTACTTGTAGTTTACTCTGGCTCAGAAACTGTCCAGGAGGATCTGTCTTCTTCCAGATTTGGTCATTCATTTAGTCAATTCCATTTTTCCAGATGCCACACAGTATATCATGGCAAATGTTGTATGTTCTAGCTAGTCTCTTGTACAATATTATCTAGTGGATGTTTAAATGTAGAATACACTGCAAATGAATTTCCAACACATGAAAAGTTTCATATTGTGAGTAGTGGACAGAGAAAGAAGAGCCTTGAATTCTGTAGGTGAGTTTCTTTTTCTGAATTTTGAAAAGAATTGTATTCTGTTGCATTTTAGAAGAGATGCCCTAAGAACAGTGCAATTGTTGCGTATTGTATAAACCTATTACTTAGCCCAAGCTTTCGTTAGCTGGAAGGAAAAGGGATTTACAAAAATGCTTTCAGGTTTGTTGATAAAACTTTCTTTTTAGGAGGAGCAATTTTACTGCTTATTCCAGTTCTGTTTCAAGTATTCAGTGATTAAATATGCAGTGATTAGTGTGTTAAAGTTTCCCTCATTATCTCTAAATTTGGCATGGATTAGAAATGTCTCTTTTTTTAATACAATGGAAAGGACTTACTTGCAGAAGACATGATCTCATTTTGCAAATAATGTGTATAACTAGGAAAGTGTTAAAAGGCCTTTGTAGCAGTATGCTACAGGGTAAAGAACAGAAAGGATATCTTCAATTTTGAAACTCAAGCTATTTTGAATTCTCTCTTCATTGTCCTTAGAACAAAGATGGTGGGGTACCTGCATTTTATTAGTCAATTAAACGCAGCACAAGGATGCCAGCTTATCGCTGTCCTTTAGCCTTGCCAAAGTGTTGTAGATCAAAATACTTGTCACAGCTGTACACTGCTTATTTAGTATTGTTTCCTAGTGCCTGGCTATGAAGCAGTTTCAGTGGTTGGTTGATTAGGGTCTTTCCAAGCACTTTGAGTAATGCCTCTTAAAAGACAATAAGTTTTTGTTAAATAGCTTATGTTAACAATCAACTAACAAAACTGATAGTGGGAGAATGATCAAGCAAAGCCAGATTGACTACTGTACTCTGGCTGTTATTCTATTGATACACATATAAGAATTGGAGGTGTACAGCTTATTTAAAAAAGGTAAGGACATATCTACTAAGTTTTCTATTGTTTTCATTTTTTCAATTTGCAACTTTTCCATTTTTAAAAAAGAGATAAGTAAAATTGTTTTAATTCAAACTATTATTATTGTACTTGGACAGATATTAAAGAAAAAATATTTTTTCTCTTACCACTCACGGGCTTCTTTTGACTGTACTCAGGCCCTTAGGTACCTGGTAAATTTTGTTATTCCAGGAATGCTCTTCTTTTCACACACACTGCTCTGATGACATCTTACCTTTGTCCTGGGAGCCAGTCCTTTGCATGCTGTTTCCCTGGGCTTGCCGACGGGTGGTGAGCAGATAAAGGGGAACAGTCAGATTATAATTAAAAAGGCAGCATATAATGGTTGGATGGAGGAAGAATACAGAGATGAAAGATGAGGACAATAAAATGAATATGTTTGGTGTGATGGTTCTTACGTTTATTTGGACTTTCATGTCAGAAAAGTCCTTTATTACAGAAGTGCTGTATGTGCTCTAAAAGCTAGGAAAAGCAGAGATGCTGATCAAGTTTTATAACAGTTCTAGGAAAAGTTACTTTTAAAAATCAGTTAATTCATTGAAATAAGCTACTCTTTAACAAATAAAGTTATATTTTCCCCATTTGAAACTTTTACCTCTCCCTAACTCATTCAGTTTCTTCATTTTTCATTATCATCTTTGAAATGTCTTCTCTTGTTTTTGACTCAATCTTCATTTCCTCCCTTACTCATTTGTCTCTTCTAGAAGATTCTTTTCTTCAGAAAGTAACCTTTTCTTTTTATCATTACTTCATTTCCAGCTGTTATTAACTGAGCTGCCTCTCACTCATTTTGTCTGCCTTTATTTATTTTTGCCTGGGTGTGATTGATGGTGTATAAAACCTTAGTTAACAGTTCAGTGGTTTGTGGGAAGTCTTCAGGCTGGAGCATTGTATGTGAAGGGATTATAAAATTAATTTCAGAGTAGTAGGAATAGATGTCTTTGATAGACTGCATTTTAAAACCTTCTGTTGTATACCAGTAGGTCAGACTGCTCAGGCAGCCATAACACTGTGCATATTTTTAGAGGAGATGAAGAAATGTAAATTTTGGCCTGAGTTTTGTAGGATCAAAGAAAAACGACAAAACAACAACAAAAAATAGTTCCAGAACAAAACAAAGAAACCATATAATTTTTTCTTTTTTTTAAAAAGCTCTTCTCAAGCATCTTTAAAAAGCCTGAGTCTCTTAAAAATGGAAATGTTTTGGTTCAAAGAGAATATGATTTTGGCTGTCTTTTCCCGCTCTCAACCTTAATGCTTTGTATCATAACAGAACTGTGGAAGGGAAACTTGTATTTTGAGTGGGAAGGAGACATAAAAAAATGTTGAAAATGCAAAAGCAGGGATTAAAACTAATACTCAATGAAGGATAATTGAGATGCTGGACAGGCAATAAATGAAAACTGATCTATGATTAGAAAGAGAATCAGATCAATCACAGATAAAAGTGAATGGTATTATGCTCTGGCCTGATTCGCTTAGCAGCTGCTGTTTTGAATACAGTTTAACTTCATTTTGAGATTTATGTTCTAATTTATTTAATAGGCTCGTAATGCTCTGGTAGAAAAGAGGCAATAGAAGTGCTTGAGCTTCTCTGAAGTCTGTCCTAGCAAGTTAGGCTAAGTGTTGGAGCAATCATTAGTTTAACAGGATCAATATGGGAGAAAATGAAGGCAAAACCAGCCTTTGTGGAAGTAACTTTGCAAACGGCTGCTAGATTCTCTTTCTTCCCTGCAATCTGCATTTGGCAGTGGTGATCACTTTGAAACTGTCAAACAGTATGACATGTTGTTTTGTATAAAACCCTCTCTGACTTGGCAACTTCTCCATCCTTGGAATAAAACAATGGCTCTAAATTACAATGTTTGGGAGGTTGCAGGGGCAGCAGTCTCACAGCATTTCCCTCTTTGCATTGCAAACAGTGGCCTGACCTAGGGTGGTAAGTTCCAATAGTGCTGAGCAGGGCTCTGCAGAGATAGAAACTCGTATGTTGGAAGCGGCATAACTGCGTTAGTGTAATTCTGTGTCCAGCCTCATAAACTGTACTCTCCTGGGGGTATAATACTAGCGGCACTCTGTTTTCTATGTATTGCAATACAGTTTCTTTAATCCTGTCCAGTTGCCCCCTCACCAGAAGGGGTTCTCTCTGTCTGTGGCCTTTATTTTATTTTATTCCAAGTGCTTTCAGGACATTAGTTTTAAAAGGAAGGGTTTTGGGTAAAGTTCTCTGTCAACGCATCCGGCACATTAAAAATGATAGTTGTCAAAATTGACATCATTCAGCTGACAGCTGCCTTGATGTAAATTTGGTACATGCTCAAACTTTAATTCTAGGCTTTTATTAGAGATGCACTCTATCATGGAACAATTACTGTGAAGCCATCGGTAGATCATAAAGCATTTTCATTTGCATAGCTGATGTCTAATATTTGTCATGCTTGTGCTAGATTTACTCACAAAATGTAACAATTAATGTAATGGAAAATATCCTCTTGTTTTATCTCATTCTCAGAGTCTGAAGTCTGTTTAATCTGTTTGCTCTACTATGTAATAATTACAGTTATGGTTAGGTATAAATTTGCTTCTGTAGCAAACTATTACAAGACTTTTTTCCTTTTGAATTTATGTACAAGGAAAAATTTTGAAAGATATGACTTGATGAGATTCATGTAGCTTTATTAATTCATGCAGAAAACACTTCATAACTGCCTTTGCTCTGTGGTCATTACAAATCTTATAAGCTGTAAATTTGCCACTTATTTGGATATTGTATCGTATCTCTATATATTTGTGTACACACAGACACACAATATTTGTAAGAGCTTTTCCTTGCCAAACCTCCTTGCCAAACCTCTTCCATCTATTTATATTTTATACATACATACGAGGTAAGGAAAGTTTATGGCTGCAAGAGATAGGTAAGTTTTACAGAATGTATAGAAACATCTGTGTATTTTAGAGTCCCTTGCACCACTGATGAAAACCAGGCAAGTTGAAAGGCATTTATTCTCACCTGTCATCCACACCCACAAAATTTTGCTCACACAGAAAACATGCACTGTTGGTTTTAGTTCTATGTATGGTGAGCTTACTTTATGCACACTGAAAGTGATTAACCCGCATTTATTTGTATGGGCAATACTTTATTATCCTCAAACATCTGACTGGGATTTGAAACAGTGAGCAGGGGGTTCTGCTGTTGTCATTAGATCACTGAGTTCATGTCTTATTTTTTCAAATGTCTAGGGATTGCAGTTACACTGAACTAAATTTTAAACAGAAAATGTTTTATGATTGATGCTTTAAAATACTTTTAATATCAGAGGTGAACCAAATATTTTGCTATTTGAGATACCAAGACATGTTTCCTTAACTACTGCACTATTAAAAGATTGTAAAGGCTGGCAGGAACTGAATATAGCATTGGAAGAACTGCTACACAGTTCCTTTGGAATTTACTATTTGGGATAACCATGACAAAAAAATCCCACTCCTTCAGCTTAACAAATAATATCAATAACAGACAATAACAACATGATTCAGCTTTGCAGCTGTGATGGCATATGAGCTTGAAAATATCGCTTAAAAATGCCTTGCGCCTCTGGCACAATGCTGTTGCTCCTCCTAGAGATACAAAATAACCTCTTGACAATGATTTCCATTGAATGCTGTGAGACCTGTTATATATAGCAATAAGGTGTAAATAACTGGGAAGTGCAGTCAAGCATGAGCAGGATTAATGGGGATATATTTTTCTTTTTTCTTATATTGATACCAATTTGACTGTGTATTCTGCCACTACAGTACAAGCTGTGTTGACAATGAATCAAAAGGGCACGCTCTATTAGTTACAGTGTAGTTCAAGTATTTATATGTAGGATCTGCATAAACTTTTTGAATTTGACGTTGGGATTCTGTGTAAGAGAATTCAGAGTAGTTTTTCTGTATTCCTTAATTTCCATGAGCCAAGAACTACCTATCAAATTTTAACTTCTATTTGAGATCAGAAGCTGCCTCTGGTATTTACTGACAGTGATGCTGAAGATGAAGGGTCTTACAGTCAAGAGTTTTCACTTGCAAGAATGATTATTTTTTCACATTTTTCCATTTGTTTTGTTTCCTTTTCTGCTCCTCCAAAGCATGAATAAGCAGTACACAGAATAGTATTTTACATAAAAAGAAAACTACAGTAAAAATCTGAGAAATAGAATATATTATTTTCTGGAAATAGGGATTAAATAATTAAGACATTTTAAAAATGTCTTTTGCTTGATAGGTCTTTGGGGCAGCTTCTAATTTTTTTACAATGTTTTATGTCCTTCTTGTTGGAAGTATCAGCCTATAATCTCTTTAACTTGCCCTCAAAGTATGATCATTGAAACTGCATTAAATGCCCTAGAAATAATGTTATAGAGTTTGTAAAAATAAAAGATATCAAGATTCTTATTCCCAGTGCATTCTCTACCAGCTGGCTGATTTATGTGCAATAAATAATTTCATTCACTTTTTGAGCCATGGTCAGAAAAATACCTAAGCCCTCTTTAACAACTGAGCCAGAGTTATTTATGTGCTGTCTCCCTTGCGACATGCCAAAGCAGTCGATGTCAAGTGGCTGGTCTTTTCCCCCAAATTTTCACATGAATGGTATAGGGGTCAGGGCTTTTGTCTTTCAAATACGTGTTTATATAAATGCTTCCCAGAGGATGTTTGTCAGTTACTTTTAGAAGTACAGGTTCATGAAAAGCATGAAAGTGCATTGGATTCATGAACACGATCTGTAGGTGAGCTAGGGCACAGCTAGCACACTTCTCATTGTATACCTGTGCTTGGAGCCCTTTTCCATAGACCAGCTCAAACTACAAGCTGTACTGGAGCCATCAGCTAAGTGTGCCTGCTGGACTGAGAAATTCATACACAAGTTTCCCTTTGCTTCTACAACATTGTTGATGATTGGAATGCCATTTAATAAAATGAAGCAATTATCTACATATAAAATGTGTTCATTGAGCTCCAAGACTAGATCTGTACTTAATATTATGCTATCTATGTTCTGGCACAGAGAACAGAATAGAAGGAGTATTAAAAAATATCAGTGAACTTAAGGAAAATAAAGTATGCTTTAAAATATCTATGTAACACTTTTCTTTTAAAATCTTTTAGGAGCCTTTCCTTAGTGTGACTGCTCAAGCAGTGCCTTAGAGAATAGTCTGATAGAAACGTTCTGTTGGAATGTGGAGACTGTGCTCAGATGATGAGGAATGTGGAGTGGGATGCTCTATAAAAATAAGTTCTTCATGGGCATTGAAGAGCATTGTTAAAAACCATAATTTGGACAAAGCTGCAGTAAACCTACATTCTGGGTAAAATTATGTACAGTTTTAATGTTGAGAGCCCTCCCCAGATGATTCTGATGTGCTGAGTTCTGACCACTGTGATCCTCCTTTGTAAAAATAGAAAACATTTTGAAATGTGTATATACTTGTTTTGGGTATTTGCTTCTGAGATAACTTGGGAGATTTAAGCTGGAAGTATGGGAAGATTCAGCACTGGTTATAATTCCTGCCTTGGCTGAAGCCTCCCTAGATAGCATTAGTAATTTTTTTTTTTTTTTTTTTAAGTCATGAGGAAATTTTAAAATAAGCAGTGTTGGGAGTTTGCATCAGGGTTAATATGACAGTGAGATTTCTATTGACTTTGCTTTGATCATACAGAAAGAAGAATACAAAGATGAGGCATATTAAGTAAAACTGTGATTCAGTAGTCTTGCCCGTTCTCGGTATGTATGCTGAGCTTGCATGTCTGTCTCTAAAGCAGGGGAAATCTCATTGCTTATTCTCAACTATATTAATTTGATTTTTTTTTTAATTTGAGAACAATATAAATTTACTTATTATAGAGCTTATACCACTATTGTCTTTTTTTTGTTTCTTTTAAATGTAGGTTACAACACTAGTAAACTGTCCACAGAATCCTTCTAGTAAGAAAAAGGGCCGTTCCAAAAGAGCTCGTGTCTTGCTAGCTTCTGTGGAAGAAGCCACTTGGAATCTGTTGGACAAGGGGGAAAAAATTGCCAAGGAAGCAGTTGTGTTTAAAGAGGAACTTCATGCAGCACTTGCTGATGTCCAGAAAGAGAGTAAGTATATGATAAATAATTTAGGCACCACAAGGAATTAGTTTAACCATGTAACTCTGGTATCAAAATGAAGCTAGGATATCCATGAGAAATATATTTTGTGCAAATGTCTGAAGTTTGAGTTGTCTAATTGTATGTTCTCAGATAACACTTGTAAAGAGGTAAAGTGTGCAAACTGGGTCCCATTGTAGAAAAACACTTATGTCAGTGGAAGTTTTGGTAGTGGTGGGTTTTTTCTTTTTTTTTTCTTTTTTTTCTTTTTTTCCAGTGAAGAGAGGATTCCCCTTGTTAACTTAGTGGCTGTTAAAGCATGCATTAACTTAAGCTTATGCTTAATCTCTTCTTGAAAAGAACTGTCTTCCTGAATCTGGGATTAAGGCCTTTTAGTTAAAAATTTAAAACCAGAAATCTTCCCTCTGGTACAGTAGTAAGGGCTTAATTTGGGAAGATGTAATGGTCCTGGTTGGAGGTATGTTTCGAGACTTAAGTAGGAGGAAAATGGATTCTTTAACCTACTGTAAGAGGCATCCCCTTGTGATAGAGCAGCTCATCTTTGATGAGTTTTACCATATTCCATTTCCTCATGACCTATCTCCCCATTTCCAACCAGACTCCCAGGATAGGACTAGGTTTTATAATCTGCTGCAAACACTCTATTAGCCACTTTCTTTCAGGCTCTTTGTAGCTTTTTTGATTTTTACTCTCCCCATGGATAATCGGGGCCTATTGGGTGAATTTGAAGGCAGGCTGAAATAGTAATAAGACAGATGACACACATCCAAAATGTATTCCTGCAGAAATCAACCTTCAAAATTGATTCAGGAGAAGATTTCAGGAAAAGGTACAGAAAAAGATTCAGGAAAAGGTACAGAAAAGAAATGCTTTTAGTGCCAGTCATTTGAGAACTATGTCCTTTCATCAGAGCTCTGTGAATTTTGTAAACAAATGGTTCCCAAGGGTTGCCTGGAGTCAGGTTAAGAGGGATTGATGAAAGCCTTCCCAAACAAGTGGGAGCAGACAAGTAAAGAACAATGGTCTGTACCATAAAGTTATTGTCAGGCCATGTTATCAAATGAGCTAGCAACCAGACTTGATTTTATAAGGGGCAAAGTGGGCTTCAGTTGCTTTTTCACTACTGTGCAGTGAGGTGCATGTTCTTATGTCATGTGACAGCTTGTGCCTGAAGGACTGCATGGCAGCCATTTACATCAGGTCTTTATATCACCTTGCTTTTACTAAAGTTGCAACTTAATGAGGATTTTTTTTTTTTAAAAATTTTGTCTTCCCCTCTGTGCAGCTGAGGCTGTTTCTGAGTCTCTGATGTTGTTCAGGGTAGTGATTACTAGCTATTGGCTTCCTCTGGATCCAGAGATGGCTGCATTTAGTTTGATATATGCATATGGTTTCTGAGATACCTTAAGGTCCTTTGTGATTAAAAGCATTATGACCAGCAAATATCATTGTTATCTGTCACACTGATCAGCTCAGGCTTTTAAAAAAATCATTCATTTTGGAGTACTCTTAAAATGTTAGCCCATCCATTCCAGGCCGATAACACAAGACAAGAATAAAATATATAGTTTTTTATTGATTTTTATACATAGATAATATAAAAATATTTCACATTTTCAATTTATTTATTGATTCTCAGCCAAGACCAGAGATAACTACAAAAATAAATAATACATAAAGTAGATTATATCCACCTCATACATTTTAAAAGAAAGTTAAGTCCATGTTATCATCTATCGTTATGCAATGACAAATTGAGTGTTCACAGCGAGTCTTCCTCCAAGGATTTGCCAAGCTGCACAAGTTTCTTTTAAGAAGTTGGTGAACAATTGCAAAATAAATAGCAGTTTGTTAATTTTGCAGATATTTTTAGTCCTTTGAAGCTGTGTATTATTTTTAATTTGTGGTATCCACATCATATGTAACTTCATTGCCTGTTATTCAAGTCACATTCCGCTGCTGTTAAATGTCTCATGTTATTTACTTCAAGCTCTTTGAAATGATGTGGGTCATAAATTCTGGTAAACTGTGCTTGCATGCAGTCACCTGCCATGCATGTCATAGCATATGGTATTTAATTTTCCGTGGGCATATTTTTCTGTGGTGACTGGCAGGTATTTTTATTAATATGTTCTTAAATTATGAATTTTTGCACATGGTTACAGCTTATATTTACTGTATAGTGGAATTTTTGAAACAATGCTCTAGATTTCACTCAGAGGTGAACCAAACTATCAGTCCTAAAGTTGCACACCAACATCTGGAAAGAATAAATACTCTCTCACCTCTTCTTGCATTTTAGCTTGTATCACTCACTGAGCTTGGTGAGTTGAAGACTGTGACATGAGAATGAAATGCTTATTTCCTTTGAATGCCAACCATTAGTGTGAAAATGCTGCTTTGTTACTTTTGGAGTTCATTAATAGGGGTTCCTTTTAGCGGAGTGATAGACCTTTTTCAAGCTGCTGCTGATAATCCTGTTCATATTAGTGTTTTGGGGAATAAAGGGGCAAATTGGCAGGATAAAAATGAACAGTGGAGATAAGATATAGAAGATTTGTCGTCTTTAATTCATCTGATGCATTAGCGACTCATCTAATGTCTTCAGAAATGGGGGGCATGGGTATGGCTTTACTGACTACAGTTCCATCTTGACAAACCCTGTCAGTAGATGAGACTTGGGTCTCATGTGTACAGTATTTAAAAATTGCCTTCTGACTCATAACGTGCTGTGAATTAACAGTAAAATAACTGACCCCTATACAAAGGAATAAGAAGCATTGTTCAACCATGAATGCTTCTGACACTAAACATCAGACTATAATTAATGTTATGATTCTGATATTTAATCAATTTTAAGACAAAACAATTATGTACTTTATGTGGGGAAATGATATCTTAGGAATTTGCATTAAAGTCTAGCATTATACTTAGGATAATGATTTTTTGCATTTATGTCAAGGTGTGATTGGTTATAGTTTTCAACAGTTGTACAAGCATAGCTGAAATGTTTGGTATTTATTGCCATTGCTTACTGACTATATATGGTCAGAAACACAACAGTTGTTTTCTGCGTTGTTTCTATCTATTGGAATGTCAATGTTTCATGCGTTTAGCTGTTATCATGCTCAAGTGTGTTCCTAGATAAGCCTTTCATCACATGAAACAGTGAACTGAAACAAGTTACTTGCTGGAATTACATTTTGAGCCTTCAGTTACTCTTTAAAAGGAAATTAGAAAGATGATTTGTTATTTTGAATGTCTGTATTGAATGTTTTTTGATGTTAAACAGAGGAGGCAAGACTTTGATGGCATGGAAGAAACTACCATTCGACAGCAAGAAATGGGACATGTAACGTAGGGATATTTACTAAAGGAAGGGGATGCTGATCTCTTTCGTTATACTTTATTTGTCCCCTCAATCTTAAAAATGATCTTAGCTTTCTCATCCTACATTGAGGTATATGTGTATGCTCTGTATGTAAGGGACTTTCATTCTGGGAGACAGAATTTAGATATCCAAGTGGCTTAAAATAATTGTGCTGTACACCCTTTTCATCCAACGAAGAACAGATCCCTTGTACAAAAGCTTCTGACATCACCATCGCTGGATCAGATGTCCCTGGGTGGGAAAGGGGGAATGAAGAGATGGATGTAAGGCATGAAGGGGGTGTGTGGTGGCTCTGATTACACATTAGGAAGAACTGTATGAGATGTGGAACTTCCTGGTATGCAGCGGTGAAATAATTGCAATGCAACAGAATACAGTGGTATCTGAGTGGGGTAAGAGACTGTGTGGCAGGAGAAAAATGTCCTTTAACATCTACAGAAAGCTATTGTGAGAATCTGAGTTGTTATGGTGTTGAATGTTAGGAACATGCAGGAGGTATCAATCTGCTTTGCCCTGATGCTAATAGTGTCACTTCCAGCTGGCCGGCTGAAGCAGAATCCTTTATTTGCTGGAGCAGATGGAGATCGTATTTGTGGGAGCAGAACAGATGATTATACTAGTGACTAGTTTTGTTTAATCTCTTGTTTTTAGAAAGGATAGGTTGTTTTGTGCTCTGATGTGACATTGAACTCCCAACTTTCTCTGGTACTGATTCTGCTTATGTGTTAGTTCATGCCTGTGGAACTTGAGGCTGCAAATATTAGTATAAATCAGAGTTTGTAAGTTTTCTATTATTGGTATAAATAGTTGATATTTTTTTTTCTGTCTCCAGTTTGAGACTAGGACGTTTGAAATCCTCTCTTTTTACTGACTCTAGTACATCCCTCCCTCCCTTAGTCAATGGGCTCCCTTTGACAACTGTGTTTCTCTGGAACTGTAAATCCACCAGCCTCTAAGGGTGCAGTTCACAGCATTGGGTGACAGGACTTTCTTGGCAGCAATACCTCCTTGTGGGAGGACACAAGAATGGCATAAAATTCACTGCATTCCATGTGGATTTCATACTGCTGCAGTTAAAATTAAAAACGAGAGGAGAAAGCCAGATGTAAAAACAAATAGGAGAGAAATGTGATTCTTAAATAGGATTTAGTAGGAGAAAGAAAATCTATTCAAAGAAATAAAATAAGAAAGCATAATTCTGAAGGTCTTGCCTAAAACAATAAAGAACATTTAGCTGTCATGAGAGTGTCATCTTGAACACTGTCTCTGAGGGGTGCTCACTGACTGCAGTTAGTGGTACTGCAAATATCTGTGTAAACAAATTGCCTGCCATTGGCTAGCAGCCCAGCAGAAGTGTCAGCTGTTTGCCGACAGGCTTACAGTTGACTTGTTTTTAAAAGAATTTTCATGTAAGTTTTTTGGGTGTTTTTGGTACTGGATAAAGTGCATGGATCCTCTAATTTTTTAAAAAATTACCTGTGTCTGAACTGTGTTTTTACCTTTCCCTGTGCCTGAGCATAGATTTTTGTAAGCACATGCATAAGTAGCAGTCATTTGACAGTAGCAATAACCGTCGGTAGCTGATCAGCTAATGGTA